TACATTCTAAAAAAGCTTTCTAAAAGCTTCATAGACACTGCTTTGACTTTAAATGTATTTGTAGTTGATTGGTAAGTTAGAAACTTAATCAACAAACTAACTAAGTATTGATAGCTTGCAAAATAAGCTAATTATGTGGGGCACATATAAAAAACTTGTTTTGCAAGTTAAGATGTGTGTCTTATAAAGTCAACATGTTTTAGAAGTCCTATAGGACATTGTCATATAACTTCTAGTTAAGAGTATATATGAAAATTAAAGTGAAGCCTTCTTTATTCTTGTCAATGCTTTTCTAATCCTTAGTCTTATTTTAAGTCTTTCTAATCTTTTTAACTTTGGTAATAGCCATTCTAGTTCAATAATATATCATCTTTGAGTAACTTTTTATTTCTTTTTAATATCATAAGAGTATATTGGAGATTTCTTTCTTTGAGATTTATGTCCTTATCAGTTTGATAAGAATGCTAATTTATTATTTTTGTCTTGTTTTAGAAATGAATGGATTATCCTACTTCTATTGTTGTATTTTGAAGGTTGTATACTACCTACCTTTAAACAAAAAATATTATTTTTTAATACTAATCTTTTTCTTAAAGAAAGTAGATTATCCCTCTTTGTAGAAATTTTTATTTGATATTAGAGGTTGTGGATTATCCTCCTCTAATTTAACTTTTTAATTTTTTTTGAATTATCTATAGAAAGAAAGATTATGGATGCTACTCTTAGCGGAAGTGGAAATAAATTTATAACTATTGTAGATCTTCATGAATTTGTCAATATTCTAAAAATAAAAATTTTATATAATTCTAATATGAATCATGGAAGTACTATGTTTACACCTATGAAAAAAGTTCATATTTGCTAACTGTTGGTCTTCCTATTTTCTACTAATAAAAAAATAAATATTTTTGTATTTTTGACTTCACTATGGCATTTAAAATCACTCAATTAGCCTTCTACATCAAGAAATTTTGCAATTGAAAGAAGCAAGTAAATCAACTTTACAACCAAATTTAAGAAGTTTTGCTCCTACAAGTATGATGGAGACAAGGATTAGTATGCCTAAGAAGTTTGATGGAACAAGATCAAAATTTCAAGAAAATTTGCAACAAGTCAAGCTTTATCTAAGGTTGTATCCTTTTCAATACTTGGATGGATTTACACAAGTCAGATTTTTAGGTGCACTTCTATTAGGAAGTGTTCTCTCTTAGTTTGCACCTTTAATAGAAAAGGATTTGTGACTCCTTTATGATTTTAATTCATTCTTAGAAGTGTTTATAGCCACATTCGGAAAAAGTGATCAAGAAAAAGTAGCAAAGACCAAGTTCTTATCTTTATGGCAAGAATCACAATTAGCTACCATATATATTGCTAAATTTCAAAACCTCGCTTGCAACATCTACTAAAATTACAAAGCCCTTATCAATCAATTTTGGTATAGATCAAAGGATAATGTCTAATGAATGATGTCTTTCATGAATTTCTTAATGATTTTATTGTCTTTTATTTGAATGGCATCTTAATCTACTCTAAGAACACAAAAGAGATTGAAATTCATGTTCATTGTGTATTATAAAAACTTAAAGATGCAAGATTATATGTAAAGTTAAAAAAAATTTGTATTCTATATTACTCAAGTTGGCTTCCTAGGATACATCATTTCCAATGAAGAACTAATGATGGATCCAAAGAAGGTCCAAATTATCATAGATTGGAAGATTTCAAGAACAATAAAGGATGTGCAATGTTTTTTGGGCTTTGTCAATTACTATTGAATCTTCATCAAAAACATTTCTCAAGTTGAAGCTCCACTTACAAATTTTACTAATAAAGAAAAATTTGAGTGGATTAAAGAAGCCAAAGCATTGTTTGATGCTTTAAAAAAGAAATTTATTTTTGTACCAATCTTATATCATGTCGACTTTTTTAAGATATTTTTTATGGAAATAGATGTATGAGACTTTGCTTTGGGTGCAATATTATCAAAAATGGAAGCAAATAACAAACTTCATCCAATAGCTTTTCATTCCAAAAAAATTTCAATAGTCGAGATTAATTATGAGATCCATAACAAAGAGCTCTTTGAAATTATAGATTCATTTTAAGAATGACGTCATTATTTAGAAGGTACTTTGAATCCAATCAACTTATATATAGATCATAAGAACCTTGAGTATTTGATGTAAACACATGTTTTAAATTATCACCAAGTTTGTTGGAGCATGTTTTTATTTAGATTTGATTTCAAGATCACTTATCAATCCAAAAAACAATAAGATGTTTTGGACGTCCTTTCTAGACATTCTTATCTTGCACCAAAAGAAAAAAATACTTCTTTTAATTAATAAAGAATAATTTTCTTGAAGACAAAATAATTTCACCTTCAAGCAATAAAATCAATATTAATTGTTGATTCAACCTTTATTAAGCAAATTCAATCAAGTATGTCCTCTCATCTTCTTGTTTATGATATCAAGAATATTTCTTCTAAGTTTCATGATACTTCTAAGTTCAAATTTAAAAACAAACTACTCTATTTCAAGGGATGATGAGACATTCTAAATAATTTTTTTTATTGTTGATCATAAGCTACATCTTTTTTTTTGTACAAGATAAGATTATTTAGATAGGCATACAAGAAACCTTGTTGTTTTCCAAATTTATCAGTAAAATTGAATAAAAATCTTGACAAGGTCATGCAATATATTTAAAATAAATGGATTCAAAGTAAATATAATAATATTAAATATTACTAAGTTATTATGATTTTTCACTTTATTTATAAAAATAGTTTTATAAACAATATCTTAAATAAATGAAAAAAATAAAAACTATCTATGACTTCTACATAAAAAGACTTAGTTTTTTTTATTAAAAATATTGTATATTTTTTAATAAAGTATTCATCTAAAATATAAGTTGTAACTATTGAATCTAATAAAGTAGAGGCTTTATAATATTTTAGGTTCCAAGCAAACATCTATTATAAAACAAAGACAAGACTTCATATTGAAATCCATAAAAACATTGGTTGATAAGTGTAGCATCATTTTACTTGATATTAGTTGCAAGTTATTAAAATTATAAAGCACATTATGATACTGAGCAATTGTATTAATGTTAAAGACAAATCTTGTTTGTTGTAACATAAATTATATCATATTTTATATACATGCATCAAAAATTTGTCATAAAAGCCTCTAGATTAATTAATATTAAATCATTTTATTTAAGAAAAGATAAAAACCATGATATAGCAAAACATGAAAATTATGTTTTAATAAACTTCACTTATAATTTAGGAGTTAAATAACTTTGAAGTTAAAGCTTAATTACTATTTATAATTCATAAATAAATCTTCAAAACTTTCATCTTATACCATCAAACATCTTATATAAAGCAATTTTTAGATCTCTAACACTTATAGTGGTACTTAAATAGTATTCTATTATAGAAGTAATATATTTAGTATAGATGTTAGAGTAATTCCACCCATCTACGCATCATTACTTCCAATCAATCTTGTTCTTTATTGTAATAGTAAATTGAATTCATACAATACAAACATTAATTTTGTTAGCTGCTCTTGCAATTTGTAATATTAAAATCTTTATTTTAATAAGCTTTTGCATGATAGTACAATAGAAAAAAAAGATATTTAATTTTACATGGAATAAGCAATAGAAAAGGATCAAAAATAAAAGAAATTTTACAAATGATAACAATTTATAAGTGAATACTCCACAACTTTTAATAAATTCATGTTTTATCTAAAAAAAAATGGATAGTCTATATTTGATGAAAAAAAATAAAGTTTTGATATTGTAATTGTATTCTTTTCAATATATCAAAGACAAAAACTTCCAATAAGATAAATAAAATAATTTTAAAATTATATAATATATAAATATATATATATATATATTACAAGAAACTATAATGGCTATAGACAAATAAGATCAAAGTCTTAAAACTAAAATGAAAACAAAAGAAAAACATTGACAAGAGTGAGAAAGGCGTTACTTTGCTTACATATATATTATCTAACTAAAGAGCTATGTGACAACATTCTATAAGTCATCCAATACATGTCTAATTTGTAAAATACATATATAGCTTGTAAGAGGAATTTCTAACATGTATGACATGTTGCTAACTTATTGGCTAAGTTTTCAACCTATTAATTATATATAAACACATGTAAAGTCAAATCCATGTTTATAAAGCTTTTAAAGAGCTTTCTATTAAGACATTAACAAAATCACCTACTTTTATGTATCTTTACCATCTGTTGTTTTGTATCAAAATATATAGACTTATAAAAAAATGTCACATGTATACATAATCTATATTTACATATAATAAAATTCTATTCTAATATTTTTTCTAAATAATTAATACAATGCTTGAGATTTATATTCTTAGGTATTAGTTAACAATTGTTTTATTATTTTTTTGTGCCAAGAATTTTACAAAAAATAATATTTATATAGTTTGTGATTTTAGTATCAAAGTAAATAAAAGTATGGTTTATTAAATCTTATATGATATAGTCTATATAAATTATTTAGATCAAGATTAAAACATGTTATAAAAACTTAAGTGCATATAGTTTTAAATTCTAATTTATTTTAATTTATTTCAATTTGATTTATATCTGTATGAATATATATATATATATATATATATACATATGTGTGTGTGTGTTGAAACCAAGACTTCTGTGCCACATAACTCCATCCATGCACTGATCTATCTTATTTCTCATTCAATTCAAGGGTTTGTTGCAACGTGTGGCTTTACGATTTCCCTGAAACGGACGCAACAGACGAAAAGTGTGAAATCTTGGGATTTCGACAGATATCGTCGAGTTTCGCGAAGTTTGGCGCCAATCTCCCACTCCTGGATTGTTATCTGATTTTCGTCCCCTAGAGCCGACGATACTTCATTCTTCCTATGAGGATCAGACGATCGTCCAACAGGAAGACGAAGTCATTCTTCGTTTGGGGGTCTGAAACTGGTGAAGATAGATTGAGCAAGCTCAATTGCTTGAATTACTGCTTCTGATTCTCCTCAATTGAATTGTGATTTCTAATGAACGAATCTTCATGCAGCTCAGCTCTCGGAAGATTTCTCAGCTGGGCTTGGATTCTTTGGTGGTCGAACAAACAGGAGATAGATAGTCAGTAATCGCTGTGAAGTGTTTTGCGTCTTTGTTGGAAGTTTGAAGGTTGTTGCGAGGTTTAGGGTAATTGTCAGAAGGCGAGTGAAGATTGTGGACTGAAAGACTGAGGGAGGCTCTTGGGTTGAAGAATAGGTTGCATTGATGGAGTGTGTGGTAGGGAATACATGCTCCATCCCCACGAATTGGGGTTTGTTGAGGCCTTGCTCGGGATTCCCAACCAAGAATGGTGTGCTGAAAGTTTGCTCGTCTTCTTGCAATGGGAGGGGTGTTAATGGAGCTAGGCTTAAAATGCTGGGGAGTCGTACTGTGTGGAATGAAGGGAGGAGGGGACTACGAGGAGTGGCGCGGTGTAGTATGTCTGGGAACAGCATGCAATCCATGGCGTTGCATCAGCTGTCGGAGTGGCTCTCGAAGCAAGGCTTTCCAACTCAGGTGCGTTGTGTACACCCCGATTCCGTGGCTTAGATAGTGAGTGGAATTGTTATATGTTGGCCATCGGTTTTGGAAATTATTGATAATCTTCAAAAATGCTTCTTTCTTCAGGTTTAGATGAAAATTATAAATTTTATTTTCTACATGTGTGATTACACCGTTTTAAGTCTTGGCGGTTTTAAATCACCGTACATCTTTTGAAGTCTAGGGGAGGAGTGCCTCAAAATTATATTTTTCTATTCTGCTTGCGTCTAGTTTGTTGTCTCCCCTTTGCATTGCCAATCATAAACGTTGTGCCCAATGAACTGATAGACTTAATCTGTGGGCAGTGTGAAGTGCCGATCAATGAATCTCTATGTAATATCTAATTGTTACTCAGACTGGAGAGAGAATTTTAGGTCGCAACATCAAAACAGAAGTTGAAGTTACTGTGCTGGACGTTTTTCTAAATTCAGATTAGTGGATAACAATGTATGATAAGTTTGTGGTTTCCATCACACAGGACGTGATACTGACAGGTTTTGGAGAGGAGGGTGTCGGTTTAGCTGCAGGGCGGGACTTCAAGGTATTTCTGCTGGGTGAATTCACAGTCTCCCCAAAAAGTAGTTTATTGCGATCTAGAATGCAGTTCATGCAGAAACTGGATTGTAAAACAAGTTTAAACTCATAGTGTTTGGGATGGTCATCGTGCCAGGAAGGGGAAGTCGCGTTAAAAATTCCTGAGAACTACACAGTTACTGGGGTGGATGTTGTCAACCACCCTGTAGTTGCTGCTCCTGCTGCAGGTACATCCACTTTATACGTTTGATACTACTGAAAACTTTGAGTGCCAGGCTGGTGCTTATTTAGAACATTTTTTTTGTGGCAAATATTGTTTTCTTTTATTTACTTAGAGCAGACTTTCTGTTTTTAATATCGTAGGGCTGATTTGAGAATCTCCTGGACAGGCAGGGGCGACGTGATAGGCCTTACCCTCTGGCTTATGTATGAACGTTCCCTAGGTGAAAAGTCTGTATGGTATCCTTATCTTCAAACCTTCCCGTCGACCACCTTAAGTCCTATCTTATGGACTGCAGAGGAACAGCAGAAACTGCTTAAGGGCTCCCCTGCTCTAGGTACTCTCAGACACCAGCTTTTTGTGCGAATATTGATGATCGCATGTTTAGTCTTGAAAGGCGTATAATATGAATATACTCAAAGGCTGTAATTAGGACTTTCATTTAATTCCTATCTGCCTTATTTTTCTTTTCTAGCGCCACCATGAAATTTGAAATATGCTCTTGCGCGTTGAATTCTTGTGCAGAGGAGGTGCAGCAACGTAGTGCTGCACTGGAAGGGGAATACGAAGATTTACAATCATACTTTACCAAAGACCCTCAGGTACTTTATTTGCGTGGTCACTTCTTCAACTTGGGCACATCGTGGTCACATTGAACACTTATTGAATATTCCAAATTTATCTAATGTAGGAAACTAATGAATCATAGTACTTTGATATATCAGACTCCCTCGGTGTTTATTGTGTTGCAGACATATTTCTTGCAGTCTATGTATATATTTACATAACATATATTCTATTAACAGAGCCATTGAGCACCTAAATATTAATTTTCATTTGCTGTTCTGCTCGGCTGCGTTATTTTCAGTGTAATTGTTCATAAAAACGAAATCTATGTTGCAGTCATTTTCTTGTGTATTCAACGCAGCGTGTGCTTGTTTTCTGCTTCTCCAATTCAAACCAGGCATTCCCTCAAGAGTACTTTTCACTGGAAGCCTTCAAGTCCGCATTTTCAGTTATCCTGTCTCGAGCTGTATATTTACCGTCGGCTGATCTTTTCGCTTTGGTTAGTGACTTCCTCCGAGTTCTGAATGCCCTGTGTAGTTCGCATTATGATATACTTGTGATTGACCTCGCATTATTTAATTACAATTTATGTATGTTCTACCCGTCTCAATAGGAAAGGACGTTATCCGACTTGTTCAATTTATTGTTTCCTTTTAAGCAATGGTTTTAATCATTCGTTCATTAACGATTAGTTGTTCAACAACCTTGTGGGAGCAGGTACCCTATGCTGATGCGTTAAACCATCGAGCCGACAGTCAGGCGTATTTAGACTATAGTATGGAGGATCAGGCGGTAATCTTTTGAATACTCTCTCAACTTGCATTTGAGGTGGAAGCAAACAACGATAAATATCTCAGACTTATCAAGAGACTAGTCGGAATAGCAAAACTGTTCAGCGTCTAACTTATTTGTATGTATCTGGCATAAGTAGGTTATGTGTTAATGTGTGAAGGTAATACTATTGGCCTGGCAGGTAGTATTCCCAGTCGACCGAAATTATAAGGAAGGAGAGCAAGTGTTTACATCGTATGGACGAGAACGCTCGAATGCTGATTTACTGATTACGTAAGCCTGAAATTCGTGAATATTTGTTGAAACCTAAGTGTCCTATGTCATATTAGAACATGTTTGATTTCAGAGCTCGAACCAGCTTATTTTTTTAGTGCATTTGCGGAGCCGAACTACCGTATCACCGTCATCATCGTTATCATCTTTTCCGTCCTTTTTACTTTTATTATTTTCCTATATTCGCTTGGACACTACTCTGCTGCATATTAACCAATTTAAAGTGATTTCTCATGCTTACAAGTTCTTGCCACCTTGGATTCTAATAGCAACCAACACTAATTCTGGTTGCAGGTATGGCTTTGTCGATGAGAACAACGCGATGGATTACCTTGATCTTGAGGTATCATTGGATACTTAGCTATGCGCACTAACATGTTAAGAACTCTAGATGCCTATCAAAAGCGTTTGAGCTTCATCGAAGATCTTTGACTTTCTGAACTCGTGGTTGTTGATCTACGACACCCTTTTGGCAGGTTGGTTTAGTCGATGGAGATCGGTTACTGGTTTTGAAACAGCAGATATTGCAGCAAGCTATGTTAGATTCGCCCCAAACTTTTCCACTGTATCTGGATCGATTTCCGACTCAGGTCAGTTTGGTAATTGTAGTTATGATGATTTTAAGTTTTATTTCTAGTAGACCTCTCTGTAAGCTTCAGCTATCGCCTCTGATCTGTAATAATTTCGAAATCGAGGGACAGTGGATTCAGTGACATCTTTAATGACGCGTAGAGTGAGGTTTTGTACAGTTATTGACGTATATGAGGCTGTCGAGATTACAAGATCCAGCTCTCTTCCCTAAGATTGTTTTCGACAAAGACATTATGCTTGATCAGGTACATCATTCCTCTTTCCTGCGACTGAATATTTACATAAGACGGATATCATAGTTTGGTTTTATCCTTACTGATGCATGCAGTGAGGTTTCTTTAGTGATGCAGATTGTATTGTCCTTGCTCTGAACAAAACTTGTAAATACACGTACTTCGTGTTCGTCAAAGTTTGACTTGTATTTCATGCTTGAAATAATGAAGAGTAGGAATACAATGTCACAACGGAACGGTTTGCATAGATCTGGGTAATGTGTTGCTTTTAACTGGCCTGAAGATACCTGGTAAAATTATGATTGTCAAACATCAAATGTGTTTTGTTTGCAGGCAAATGAATATGAATGCTTGCAGCTTCTCATGGGTGAATGCCGTACAAAACTGGGTAATTATGAAGGGGGTGTGGACGATGAGATTCGTTTGCTTAAGAACAAGGTCAGAATACTCAATGGTTCTCAATTACCTGTCTCACTTTTCATATGGCTAGAAATCTTTCGAGCAGGTCTTGGTAGTTGAGAGGAACATTGCCCAGAACCTATTTAATATCCTGAATTCACAGGACAAGTTAAGCCTATACAGTAAGCGGTTTGCAGAATTTCTTTTTCTTGTAAAGCGGCTGGACTCTTCATACTTACGTGCAGGACTATCATTAACATTTGGCGCTGATCGAAACCTATGTTCAACAGAAAATCAGTCAAAGGGAGAGAGTTGCTGCACAACTACGACTCTGTGAGAAAAAAATCTTAACAAGCACCATGACTGCTCTGCGTAACCGGTTAGCTCCAATTCGTGGCATCCCTACCAAAAGCGGTGGTCTCAAGGTAAGCTTCACATGTGCACGTTTGTGAGTTCGGTTCACCTTGTGTTCCAATCCAAGGAAATGGAGTAAACATAAGGATAATCATGGGGAGACTGCCATAACTGCTTGATTGTGTGTACAGGACCCAAATGCAGACATAAATGAGATGTTTGACATGGTGGAGCAAGTGGCTTCGGCTCCTAAGAAGTTTTTTGATAATATGTTTAAGAAGTAAGCTATATCAATACTTAAGGTTCTGGCATGTTTAAAATGCATGGAACATAAGACGCATGTATTAAAATCTTTTCCTTCAATTTTCAAACTGCTTGCTGGTATTTGTTCAAATGTTATGATCTCATGGTTCGTTTCCTGTTTTTATTTTCCAAACTTCGAGTACACTTAAATTGGGTGGCTGATCGACCAATGCTTTATGATTAGTTGAGTCGACTGTGGTGAAATCTCGAATTCAAAGTCCTGAAAGCATCTGTGTAGCATTTTCATTACTAGCAAGATGGGTAGAGGCTCTTATGTACATTAATTTATAGTTAAAACGAGAGACGGCTCAATTCGTCTCAAAATAAAAACAAAGTCTCACTCGGTGGGACCAATTACTGAGCTAAGGGAGATCTATCATTGAATTATAAAATTGAAGTAATCACACTTGCAATTTTGATCTTACTAACCAGATGATGCCTAAAGTTGTTTGCTTGAATTAATAACAAGTCACTTATGTTTGATAATCCTCCATTGCAAAGGAATTGGGTTTGGCCAAAAAATAGCATGGCATTCTTTCATACCGCAAAATGAGGTGGTGGATCTATTTAAGATTTAAGTGGATTGATTTAATATTCTTTATACATAATTACCATCATCTTAATAAATTACAATTGTTGATTTTTAGTTAAGTTAAAATTAAATGTTTGTGATTTTATGTTTAACTAAATTTTAAATTTTAAAATCTTATTTTTAAACCAATAATTTAAATAAATAAGTATTTTAATGAATTGTCCAAAATGAAAGAAAAATGTGTGAGATAAAAAACAAGTGAAATAAAAATTGTACTATTCTGTGAATTCTCTTTTTGTTTGTTTCTTTCTCCAACGCAGTAAAGAAACTCTGATTATTTTTACATTTTTGTTCAAAAACCCAGTAATCGTTCCAATATCTTTACGATATTTCTTGTGCCGTTTTTCACGTGTTGAGGAATCATTTTTTTTTTCTATTTAACTTTTTTGTGGTTGTCAATAGATAGTTAATTTATTTTCAATTCATAATATACTGTACGAGTTGTATTCCTCCAAAAAAAAAAAAAAAAAAAAACACTACTAAATTACAGATTGGCAGCGATTTCACATGCCCATCCTCCCAATCTTAGTGTTGACCCTCGGGAACCGTACTCCGGTCTTCCTCCAGCCACAGCCACATTCCAAAGCATAATCTGCGGCATGCTTGACACATCTCAACCTGCGCAAACAAGTGGAAACAAAGCATTGGAGACCAGAAGCCACTGCCTCACCCACCGGAAGCACAACCCCTCGTATAAATTAACCCCTCTTCTAGAAAGGTCTATACATTCAAAACCTTATCAGGAGCTACAATATCGGAAGCAATACGCTCGAAACATTGCCGTCGATGTTGCGGTATCCGAAATATTCCGAATATCACTGAAATATCCCAAAGAAAAGATTATATCCTATAAACCAGAATATGAGTAGAATGACCATCCCGAGATTACAGCGGCAGGGCTATCCAACGCGGATTTCTTGATAGTTGCTTTTAAAATTCACAATCCGAGCGTCTCTGTCTGTCTCTGGCTCGCTCTCTCTCTCTGAACATCCCCAGGGGGGGGGGGGAGTAGCCATTGATTCCGCCTTGATTCTGTTCTGCAATTCAATCAAGCAAAGATACAAAAGTAGAGCACACAAAGCACCTCCATTAAACCCAAAAGCACACTTGTAAAACATGATTGTAAAAAATGAAATGTGTGATGATCATGCCAATTGTTGCATGATGGATTGATTTAGTAAAAGAATGGATTGATTTAGTAAAAGAATGGGTTGATTTAACAATTCCTAAATTTTATAGTGCTTTAAATTTTGGTTAAGATGAATGAAATTATTTAAGAAAAGTGAGAATGTTAGATTAGATATTCTCCATCATTATTACTTTTATTGGTACTACATCAAAAATTAAAAATTGTGGGAGACCATGTATCAAGTGAGTGGCATGTTGTGGTCACAGAAGCAAAAACTATGGTTGGATTAGTAGTAGAAATTCTCAAGAAATTACAAATAAATTATAAATAAATCTCAATTAAATCCTAACCAAATCCTAATAGAATCCTAAGAAAATCCTTAAAATCCTATTCAAATTTCAAGCAAATTGTGACAAATCCTAGTTAAATCTTAAGTAAATACTACAAAAAATTTCAAACCACCATAACTATTACATTAATTTTTGATCTCGATTTAAAATTTCTACACAATTCAAATTACTAATTGAAAACAAGCATACAAAATTTGAAGAGAATCTAATATAAAGATTGGCAAAAAATGCTCCTAATTTGTTTATATATGAATTGTCCTTCATCTCCAACCTTATAGTAAAACTTATAGTTTTAATATCTTATTGTTGAATCATTAATTTTGTTTTAAAATTAGTCAAATATATAGAAATATTAGTCAACTATTAGAACACAATGAAATCACTGCAATCTAACTAGCAAATTGTTCAAAATCTAAGAAGCCCTCATTAACCTTCAAAATTCAATTTTAGAGATCCTAGCTCACTTATACCTTAAAAATTAAATTTAACCTTCAAAATTCAATTTTAGAGATCCTAGCTCACTTATACCTTAAAAATTAAATTTAACCTTCAAAATTCAATTTTAGAGATCCTAGCTCACTTATACCTTAAAAATTAAATTTAACCTTCAAAATTCAATTTTAGAGATCCTAGCTCACTTATACCTTAAAAATTAAATTTAACCTTCAAAATTCAATTTTAGAGATCCTAGCTCACTTATACCTTAAAAATTAAATTTAACCTTCAAAATTCAATTTTAGAGATCCTAGCTCACTTATACCTTAAAAATTAAATTTAACCTTCAAAATTCAATTTTAGAGATCCTAGCTCACTTATACTTTTACATATCCTAGCTCACTTTTTTCATTTAGAAGTATATAAAAAAAAAGTCATGTTTTTGCAATTTACCTTTGAATCACAATACAAAACCTTTGGCATCATTGTAGTTAACAAATGATAAAGTAGTGACACCACCAATGTCACCTACATCATGGAAGAAAATAAAATTATCACACACTTTGAATACAAATAAAACCACATTCACAACATTAAACAAATTAGCAAGTGGAAAAGAATTAATGATAATAATAATAATCATTAAAAATGACAGTATAGTCACAAATTGTTGTAAGAATGAAATCATTTTAAGAAATTTCAGATCTTACGGTAAAAAAAAATTTAAAAAATTAATATTAATAGATCACAATTTTATTTTATTTTCTTTATACTGTACGATAACAAAAACCCAATAAGGAAAAGCTAAACCACAAACCGAATTTCAAAAACTAAAATCCATCAGCATCCATTCACGATTCACACAAAGAATGAGAATATTTCTATAATTCTCACAAAGACTAAAAAAAATCAATGAGTAAGAGTAATCAGCAAAGAGCATGCAACAGTAAGCAGAAACACAAAAAAGGAAAATTGCAGAAAAAAGCATGCAAAATGCTATTCACAAGTAGCACAGGCTGATCAGTGAACACAATCTTTCTGTCCGGGAAGATGAAAGAAAGAAAACAAACAAAGAAAGAAACGAGGAGCAGGATACGGTAGGCGTCGATGTCCGCCCACATCCCCACACGTTGTGGACAGAAAGGCTACAAACAATCCACGCAATGCAATCCATGAGCTAAGTTGGCAATCCTGCAACACCAGGAGAGCGGGAGGAAGAGAGGGTGGGCATCTTTCACTTACACTCGGTGAACAGTTACAGGCTCTGTCTCGTAGAGCCCTTCCCCTCCACATGCTATTGTAATCTGAGAGCCTGGTTCGAAAAATGGGGGGTCTCTTGATTCCCTTATCATTTGTACTGACGGTTTCTCATGTTGGATCACTGTAGACGCAACCAAGGTGGCGAACTGCTCGAGACTCAGTTGTGTTATCACTGTTGCTGTCGCCCCAACTCAGCTCAGTTGTTGTTGTTGTTGCTGTAGATTGTTGGTGGTGGGAGCCCTGAAGCTGTTGCGGACTCAGTTTGGGGGAGTGTGTGGAGGACGTATTAGTGTACTGTTGCTGTGAATGCTTCGTGAAGATTTGAGGTTAGATGGGGAGTGATTAGTGGAGTGGGTAGCCTGTCACATCGGATTTTTCAAAAAAATAAATGTCTTGTGTCTAGTTGTTATCGAGTGAGTGGAAGAGTGTTTCGGAATGCGGTGCAAAACATGCAAGATTGCAAATGGGTGGATCTGTGCTTTGCTGGTTTCTGTGTAGGTTGTTCGTTTGTAGCTTTTGAATTCTGTTCTTGCGGTGTTCGATGGTTTGGCGTGAGAGTGCCAGTGTGCAGATGACGGGCGTTTGTTGTAGGAAAAGTTTTTCAGAGTGTGTGTAAAGTGGATTAGTTTGTGAAATGGAGGGGCAGTTTCACACATGCTGAAGTGCGAGGCTTGTGAAGGTTGTTGCTTTGCTATATTACTCATCTTGCATTCAGGAATGGAGGTTTAGTGGATTGGCGGGAACGCTACTTGACATCCAAGAATGGTAATTTGAATCTAGTTTCTGTCACGTGTTACAGGTTCGTCTGCACGGTCGCTAGAGATTTTCAAGTCTTCTGGGCTGGTTTTGCATCACAAACCCTTACAGCAAACACACCATCTGAACACCTGCAAGTAATATGGCATCGAAAATTATTATGGAGGATTCCCGAAAGTCTACAAAGCCTTTACCCTGGGCGGATAAGTTTTGCGACTATATTGAGAGGGGCATTTTGTGGTTTTTTGATGATTATAACAGCAAAAAGACAAATTACTGGATTAAAAATAACTATGCTCCAGCTGATGAGCATGACCCTGCAACCAATCTTCACGTTGTCGGTACCATCCCTGTAAGCGCCTATCTACGTCTCCAGCAATATCCGGGATGTAAAGTTTCTTGTCTACGCACTCCTCTTATCTGAGCATGCGTTCACAAAACAAATAAGTCTGAAACTTTGTCTTTCTATTCCACTGTGGAAAACTGCTGTTGACGAGGATGGATTTTGTACTTCTGGCTCTTCCTGTGTGAAATGGAAAGTGAATTAATATTGTGACTATATTATTCGATCGGTTGACAGGAATGTATGAATGGAGAATTTTTGCGGGTTGGTCCAAATCCCAAATTCCAGCCAGTTGCTTCATATCATTGGTATTTCCTTGTTGCGAACCTGCAACTATTTTGGCTTGGTCTTTTCGAGCATGCTATTGCCACATTTTGAACGAATTATTCTTTTTTGGATAACGTCTTCGGAATACTTATAGCAAGTTGCGGGATTGTAAGACTAGATCAGAGCAGCGCAAGTTCTGGCCTCTGTTTCGAAGGTTGATTTGTTGTGATTGATTATGCTTGAATTCAAGGATCTCTTCGGTCGTTTATTGCCCACATGGTTTTCTGATACGGTCCTCTTGATGTCAGTGCAGGTTTGATGGAGATGGGTGCGTATTCGGTGTGCTAAACTCTTAGTTTGTTTGTTGAAGAAGTGTTTGTTTTTTGGCAATAGGCAGGCTACCGCGACTTTTACTGATACCAATATAATAATATGTATTTTTCCTGTTAGGATTTTGGTCATAAATTACAATAATGCATAGTGGAAAGAGGTCTAGAATATGTGTTTAACTTGTAACAAGGGAGGTAGTGCTGGAGTTCAGCATATGGTGCGTCAAAGGCTACTGAAGGAGTCACGGTGGGACCACCTTCAGTATTCGAAACCAGAAAGAATTTGACGGCGCATGACAATCCAGGGTTGATCATTTGGCTGATGTATGTGGCAGAATGATACATGGACTGAAGATTAAGGATGGAAACGCCACTTACGTTTCTCGGTATGTGAAAACTAGCCGACTCCAACAAGAAGAAAAATATGGGGCAGCCAAGTTTCTTAAGGTAGGTCGTCTTTCTGTGTACTGTACGTTGTAACATTGCTTTTTCTTTTGACAGAGAAACAGACTCTATGGTGCACTATAGAATTGTTACGACGCTGTCTCCCTGTTGGTTGTACCTACCTGAAAACTCTTCAGCTTCGTTCTTATCCATTGCTTCTCGCGTCTTGCAGATGGGAGATTTGAGGGGACCGAAAGGTATGCTGTACATTCGGCTCCATAAACTCCGTGCCAGGCTTGGGGTCATTGACCTCTCTCGGGGTGCAGGAACAGGTGGACATTCTGACTCTTTCTCCAGATCGTCTGTTTATGAAAATAAATTCGCCAGAGGCAGAAGTTCAGTTATTCCGCAAGCTATCTTTGTATGCTGGCAGTGCAAGTCGAATTCTCATTGGTCTCCTTGTTTTGCAGGCAATACGGCACTCATATATCACAACAAGAAGCTCCTGGCACTGAACGAAGGCGACAAACCTTGTAAGCTTCCTATCATGTTTGAACACTAATCATGCTTTAAATTTGCTATTCGAGATGTTCACGGTAGCAGAACTTCGAGTTTTCTCAAATCTGCTAATTTCAGAGATTCTGAGTGTATCATTTTTTAATTAATTAATTTATTTTATTTATTTATTCTGTTGTATAACTAATGTGCCAACCTTGACCTCTATGAATTTGTGATTCAGATGCAATGAGAGTGTTAGAAGATGGCGACCTTGAGACACTGGGTCGTGTTGACTATGGAGGCAAATTGCAGCACCCCTTCACTGCCCATCCCAAAGTGGATCCTATCACCGGTGAGTCCTTGGCTCCCTCTGGCCTCGAAGCAATTTTAAGCGTATCTATTATCCGCCGCTGTTGTTTGAGGAATTGTTTAGTTCCCCTCTGGAGCAGCATTTAAGAATTATGTGCTCTTCTTTGTCGGACATTCTGGTACTTGTTCACCACCCTACATTGTGAGTAAAGAATGGTAAGATCATAATAAAACTAATCAAATCTCCTGTGCAGGAGAGATGTTCACTTTTGGATATGAGATCGACAAATCCCCCCCACAAATTACCTATCGTGTGATATCCAAAGATGGAATTATGCAGGACCCCGTTTGCATACACTTGCCTCAGATTGTCATGATGCATGACTTTGCCATCACGGAAAATTATGCAATCTTTATGGATCTTCCCCTCCTGATGGACGGCGAAGTATGTCTCCTTACCAAATATCACTTTTGCATAAAAACAAGTTCGTAATGCTTTCAATATCCTATATTTGGACTTCTTTGACGACTGAAATCAAAGCACACGTGATCCATCATACTGATGGCAAATATTCTATTCACCAATCCTTCGTTTCGTTGTTCGTTTCTGTTTTTATTATACAGAGTATGATGAAAGGAAACTTCTTTATCAAGTTCGACGAAACCAAAGAAGCTCGGTTGGGAGTACTTCCTAGATACGCCACTAACGAGAGTCAGCTTCGCTGGTTCACCATTCCCGTGTGTTTCATATTTCACAACGGTTCGCATTTATGAAGCTCTAAACTATCCCTTTTGATTCGAATTGAACCTTTATTAGGCATCTCTCTGAACCTGTCTATCGTCCGCAAATTTCCCTTTCACATGATACATAATTTGTATAAACCTGGGCATCACACCATAACTTCGGATTGTTTCATGATCCAACGTTGACTGCATTGCTTCACTCTCTTCCTGTACTGGTTTATTGACAACCTTGGTTTCTTTTCACCACCAGCGAACGCTTGGGAGGAAGGCGATGAAATTGTCTTGCATTCTTGTCGAATGGAAGAAATAAACCTAACGACGGCAGCAGACGGATTCAAAGAAAATGAACGCATTTCTCAACCTAAATTGTGAGCGCCTCTTTTATCCTCAATTCTCTCTCTCTCTCGCTCGCTCTCTCTCGTATTGTCATCGCTCTTGAGCCCCTTCATTTTTTTTGTATTGTCCAGAATTTATGGTTACTGTTTCACATGATTTTGTGTATGGTCGTGTAACTGGTATCTTTGTAATTTTTTTAAGGTGCTGCTAGGTTCTCCTCATGTTTTGAGTCATTCCCTGTTTTCTGTTGTAGGTTTGAGTTTAGGATCAACCTTAAGACTGGTGAGGTGAGACAGAAACAGCTCTCAGTTCTGGTGGTGGATTTTCCAAGGGTCAACGAGGAGTATATGGGAAGGTACTTGATTCAAGCCCAGGCTACTTAGGCTGGCTAACGCGGGTGTATGTTCGCAATATGTATATATAAAATTCTACGTGGCCATCGCTTTCAATCTGATGATATATATAGCTTGTATACTTTAGGTTTGAAAGGAACTCCTGCATCACTGTAGTAGTCATGCATCTGCTGTGAATCTGACAGAGCTCGTGTCTGTTGCATGAGACGTAGTTACTCGGCAATTCTCGAATCTGCTTCCGGATTTCCACTAATTGGTGCTCGCTCAATTTCTATGTGCAGGAAAACTCAATATATGTATGGAGCCATTATGGACAAAGAGTCTAAAATGGTAGGAGTCGGAAAGTTCGACCTATTGAAAGAACCAGAGGTGAACCCCAAGTCTCTCGAAGAAGGAGGCGACATTGAAGGTGTATTTCTGTATGGACCCGGGAGGTTCGGTGGAGAAGCTATTTTCGTGCCTCGCAACCCCGGAAGGGATGGACCGGAAGACGACGGATATTTAATTGTCTTCGTGCACGATGAGATCAAGGAGTACGATACTAACCACCTCTAATTTCTGAAACGATAAGCTTGTTCTCGCATCACGTAGAAATGGAAAATGGCCTATCCTTGAATCACAGATGACATTTTCAATGAGCTTCTCGTGACGTTTTCGTTCCTCACTCGCACTAGATGTTTCGATACAAATTGTGATGGTAACACTGAGTCTGATGATCAATATTGGCTGGACAGTAAATCGGAGGTTGTAATAATTGATGCCAAGGCAATGGCGGCTGATCCAGTAGCGGTTGTAAGCATGCCAACGAGAGTCCCTTACGGATTTCATGCATTCTTCGTCACTGAGGTGGATTTTTCGCATTCCTTGCCCATCTATCCCGTAGTTTCTACTTCATGGGATGATTAGCAGGCCGCTGTAAGCTGTTTATTAATGTGGATAGAATAAGCTTTATTTGCAATCTTAGTTGTGCAGACTGGTAGACACAAGTTCACGAGCACTCACTACCTGGGTTGTTTTTGTGATCACAGGAACAACTGAAAAACCAAAGCTGAAACTCGGACATTGGGTGGAAAATTCCAGAAGCCTTTTATGAAGGCTCATGGCCCGGCAGGGTGGTCTTTGCTTCTTACATAGTGTATCTAGTAGTTGAATTTGCAGAGGGTGCCTTGTTCCTGTAGTACCATAGTTGTAGGATTGCTGTGAATGTTAACTGGTGACTAATGTACCGAAAATGCTACTTTTTTTGTACTGTATCTGTATAAAGCAGTTGTTTTGCTGATACCAATTGGAACTTTTTCACTTCCATTGTGGAAAATCCCTGTTCTGTGAGCCCTTCCGAACCCTTTCGTGAGTTCTTGCCGTTGTCTGCGTTATGACATGTGCCTGCTCATGATAGTATAAGTTTTAACTCATTACAGGCATACCGTAAAAAGCAGGTCACCTTTATTCTATATTCATAAAATCTTCTCGCATTCTAACCTTGAATTTGAATTTCATGCAAATGCCAATAATTTCACAGAAATTCTCCTACGATTTTGTCAAAAGGAAGCTCCACGTGCACATTTGTTGAGCCAGTCAGGATGTAAATTTTTACAGTATTTACCGAGAGAGATAAACGATCAGAGCTTTACAAGTCCCAGCTGTTACGGATGTCAACTTCCATGAAGTCAACCAGTTCATATTGATGAACTTGACTTGGTGATGTTGTGATTACATAGGATGTTTGATGGTGCTGCACATTGTAGTAACTAGAATGCACCCAACAAGATTTTATTTATTTATTTAATCACATTATTGCTTTTAAAAAAAATCTGGTATTCTTTGAATTAATTATTGTCGGGAAATGATAGTTAGAAGTTTTGAAAATATATTATCATTACTCAAGTAGTATATATTTGTATAATAAGTTGGAATGGGATAGAGTTTTAGACAGAAACAGGCCATCATATTGGAAAATACAATACTTGAAGTAATGGTTTAGAAGAGTTGAACATGAGACTCTAAGCATTTCAAGTGGAGTTTTAATGGATAGGACATTTTATAAGTATATATAGAGAAATAAATAAATAAATAAAATCCTTTAGATAGTATTAACATAGACAGTGTTTCTAATGAAAAAAATAACTTTATAAATTACATAAATCATAGAAATTTGTTATTTTTTGTTTTATCTAGAGCTTTAACCAAGCTATAATGCAGTTTAATTGGGCCTAGTCAAACAACACTTGACTTTATGTATATTTTTTTATTTATCTTAATTTTTTCCATTGAATTGGCAATTACTTATTTTAGTGCAGTATTTATGATATTTTGGTCGATTTAGTTGTGCTACTAGCTTGTTTTTGTTATAATAGATTCCAAAAAAAAAAATTAACATATTTGAGAGATACATGAATGTATTTTTGATGTTTCATCTAATCTATCATTTTGTAGTGAGTTGCATAGTTTTTATATGATTATTCATTAGGATCACTATTTTGAATCTCAAGCTACAGTATTTATATTGAACATGTCCTTAATCTAATATTAATACCAAATAGAAAGCTAAGCCTACAATATATGAGATAGAAGATAGATCTTAGAAAATATTGTTGTGTAGAAGTGTATTTTAATTTTTATTATTGTTTTCCTATATAGATTGGGTTTAATTTAATTTTTTCTTTATTTAAAATGATCATTGCTAGAATTTAGAAAAATTTCTATTGTGGTTTAAACACCAATATAAAAAAATTCAAATTACTTGATTTTTGAATATCACTTTATAAATCTTCTTAAAGATAAGATCACTATAAAAAATTACAAATTTTTCCTTGAATTTCTTTGTGATCTCCCTTGAATTAATAATGTTCATTGAATATTATACTAAGCATTAAAATCCATAAAGCAAGCACCTGTTGTTACATCCTAGTTTTATGAGATACTCATGAAAATAAGTGTTATAATCTTATAGAAGAACATTGTTTTCTATGCTATAATAAAACATATAATTTTTTAATTTTAGGAATAAAAATGCTTCTTTTTAAACTTTTACAAAGTATTTGATGTCTCTTTGTTCAAATTTTGCAATCGTAAATAAGGTTGTTGTAATTTATTTATTTTATTTTATTTTCTCCTTATATCATGTTTCATTTACTTCAGAATTATTTTTCATTTTCTAACAATAAAGCACATTTACATGTATGATGTTAAATATAAAGTGGTCAAATTGAGATGTTTTAAATGTGAACCTTACACATGAATTTGTAATTTTTAATTCTATATAAGTTTTCTTTATTCTTGTGAACTTTGCTTTATTGTGACATACTTAGGCACATTAAAAGATAGATTTAACAGTAGTCTTGTGTAAATTGATATTATTATTATTACTAGTATATATATACTCTAAATTTTCACTAATTGAAGGTCTCAACCAACAAATATTTGTTAATTGAATTTATGAAAATGATTCTAGATAAATATTTATTATTGATGCATATAATTTTAAAAAAGTACGTTTAAAAGAATTTATAATTACTTTATAAATTTATACCTTTTATATTTAATATTCATTTTTTGATGTTTTATCAAGATGAACAAAAATTACAATCTAATCAACACATATTTGTATAATGTCAATAACAAGTACTTGAAGTAATTAGGCAAATTAGTGTATAGAGAGATGCAAATAGAAAATTAAATGATTTCTTAATTAAGAAGAAGAATATGTGAAATAACAGAATAATGTGTCCAAAAAAAATAAGCATTTGGTCAAGGAGAAAATTAATTTAATACAAAAAAGATGAAATATAATAGAGTCTAAAAACTTGAAAGACACCAATATGTTAGAAATACAAATAAGCAATGTAAATATTATAGAGCATTGTATTGGATGGGCAATAGAGCAACTTATTCTAATAAAATAAATCAAAAATTTTAAAAAAATTGTATTAGCAAAAAATAAAATAAAATAAAATAGGTATTGATATTTTAAAACTTCATCACTGTAATGAATAAATATAAAAATAAAAATAAAAAATCTTAAATAAAGCTGAAAAAAGATTTAAAATCAAATTTGAAAATAAAATTCAATTTTTTAAAATTATATGTGTAAATTATGTGTGTAATTTTGTAAAAATTTACTAATAATTTAGGGGAAAGAGTTATTTTTAACTTTTATATATTAAAAAAGAACACAATGTAATTAAACTACTTTAGGATTCATCAAAAATTACTCAATGTTTTTTCTATCTAGATAAATTTAGAACAATAAAAGAAAATTCCTAATAGATAATCAGAACCAAAGCTTTGATTCAATGCCAATACTTTGTATGAAACATAGAAGTTGTAAAAAAATTTAAAAAAAAAAAATAATAAAATAAAAAAAAAATGAAACATTATTATCGATCCAAAATAAAAGATGAATATGGTTATCTAATTTATTGTTGAAGAAGTAATAGAAAGACTTCTAATATTATTAGTAAATTAGTATTTTTTTATTTTCTATTTTTTAATGAAACTTAAGAAATAAAAACAAAAATACCATGTTGATATTGAAGTTTTTTCTCTTATATATGTAAGAAAGTATATTCACAAGTTTTGTTTTAAAATAATGTACTATATCAAGAATAATTAAAGATATCAATGATAAAACTAAAAATTACAATTATTCAAAGCATATTGCAACTACAGAAACTATAATACATGTATTTAGAACATATATACATAAAGAAGTACCAAATATTTTTTGATTAGTATTGTAATTTTAAATATGCATCAATCTAAATGATAACGTATAATGTATATTACAACATGAAAACCACAGAAAAGAAGACTTACATCAGATTTTATAATATGTAATTTTATGAAAAATATTTTCAAACACAAAATTTACAAAAATATAAAATCCGTATGTATGTATGTATGTATGTATGTAAATAGATAGATATTGTTAATTGCAATTAAAATTTTAAAAATTATTGTAGGATTTTATTTATATGTTTTTTATCCATTAATTATTTACATATTTACAAATTAAAATTAGAGTGATGCATCTAATATTTAAGAGGGTATTTAGAAATAATATAAATATAAGATAAAAAACAATGAATTCAAATACTTAAAGAAGAATCACGAATAAATACCAAAAGCATCTAAAAGCATTATTTACAATAAAAGAAAATTAATATATACTAATACATCTTTCAAAACTATTTTAAAATTTCAAAACTATTTTAAAATTTCAAAACTAGTCTTTTTAAAGATTTATGTCACCAATTAATTTTTAAATAGATAACTCAATATACCATGCAAGATTGAGTATTTGATTATGTTTTATTTATTTATTTATTTTCTGGACAGATTTTTTTAAAAAAAATTAACACAAATTTATATGATTTTTCTCCTTAACTTTTTATTTAAAAATTAATATAATCAATTAATTCCTAAACTTATGACATAAAATCATCAAGATTTTATACAAGAATTTGAATTCTTTTCATAATAAAAGAATGAGCAATTCATTGTCCATGAAGATGTAATTAATGTTGCAATAAAGAATTACAGATTTATTTATTTATTAAAGATGCTGCAAGAAGCAACAAAACATTTGAATACAATGTGAATACAATAAAGATTTGGGGACTTATATATATATATATATATATATATTAATGATTGTTTCACAAATTTTAAGAAGAAGACAGAAATGCAGTTTTTAAAATTTTAAGTTCCATGAAATACCCAGTAAGACAATTCTGTGTTGGAACAAAAAATGATTCATATGGAAATGTTTTACTCTAATGTTCTAGGATAAAGTACCAATACATTTTTCCAATACATATGTTGGCAATACATAATGGCTCATTGTGATCTCAAAAGCATTCTAAGTGAAAGAGCAAGTTGGTGAAAGAGCAAGTATAGAAGTGAAAATGAGGGAAGCCTAATTCTTAACCACTAAATGAATTGCATTTCAAAATTATTGAAGACAAATAAATAAATAAATAAATAAATAAAAAATCCAAATATCCCATCTTTCACAATCTGAGGTTGCATCTACCTCCACCACTCACACATTGTCATTTCCAATAATGAATCCCCAAGTGCCCATGAGTGTTGGCCATGGGCTCAAGTAGGGCCCTCTTGTGGGAATAGGATGAGTTGGTGCCAAATCATCCTTCTCCACTCTTGTTTATGACCACCACACTTGAACAACAACAACAATCTCACTCACCCTCTTGGTGTGCTTTGTTGAAGGCATATATATACACACACACACACACCAGGGGACATACACACAATGGGATGGGACAATTCTGCATCCTTGAA